TCCCAAACAGTTCAGGTGCTGTCCTCAGTCATACTCTGCCTGCGTAACTCCCTTACATGAATTATTCTTCAGCTGGGGGTCAAATGAGGCAGTGTAGGGTTGGTATTTGTGATTATTTCTCTAAACTCTGTCTCTCCTCAAAGACTTGGAAATCATGGGCAAAGCCCATCCCTTACCTTAGTAATTGGCACATGGAGGACAGGCAGTCAGTTGGACAGATGGATAGATGGATGGATGGATTGTGGATAGATGGATGGATGATGAATGAATGGATAAATGATGGATAGATGCATGGGTGGATGGATGGATGGATTTTGGATAGATGGATGAATGAGTGATGAATGGATGGGTGGATGATGGATAGATGGATGGGTGGATGGATGGATGGATTGTGGATAAATGGATGGATGGATGATGGCTGGCTGGCTGGATGATGGGTAGATGGATGGGTGGATGATGGATGGATGGATGATGGATGGATGGGTGATGGATAGATGGATGGGTAGATGGATGGATGGATGGATGGATGGATTGTGGATAGGAGGATGGCTGGATGATGGATGGATGGATGGATGGCTGGATGATGAATGGGTGGATGGATAGATGGATGGATAATGGATGATGGATGGGTGAATGTATGAATAGATGGCTGGCTGGATGATGGCTGGCTGGATGATGGATGGGTGGTGAATAGGTGGATGGTGGAAGAATGATGGAAGATGGATGATGGATGGATGGTTGGGTCAGAAAGGCAGGTTAGATTTAGATCATGGATGGAGACCCAAAACAGTGGAACCTCTCCTTAACGACGGAGAGAAGCCATGCCACAGCTCTGAGCTCTCATCCTGTGCCCATCTCTATGGGCAGAGATGAAGCCACGCTCTCTACAGCGTGCCTCTCCCGAACGCACTCTTTCTCCTTCATTTCTTTGCTTGTGACGCCTCCCCATCACCACCTACTGCACACTAAGTGCCCGCCATGCATCCGTGCCCCTGAAGGGGCATCACCATTCCCTGGTGCGAGGGAATCACCGCCTCTTCTGTTCCTCTCTTACGCCCCTCGCCACATTCTGCCCTCAGTCAGTTTTTTAACGAAAACCCTTTGCTTATTGAGGGCATGTTTGATGTCACCGTGAGTGCTAGGCACTCAACACGTGTAGATTGAGAGAAGCCTGTTATCTTGATGGTGGTTGTTTGTTTCCTAAGTGTTAAATATAGTGTTATCAGTGGGAAGATTTATGGGCTGAACTGATTGCCAGCAGATCATTTTGTTGTAAAGTTAGAACTGAAGAGTGCAGTCGGCACGTCTGAGTACAGGTACCGGTGGCAGGAGGGCTGGGAGTGCCTCTTTGGACCACAGACCTAGTGGGTGGGATGCTCTCCCCATCATGGTGTGAGGGCTTCTTTCATGTGTCCCAGACATCTCAGGCTCCCTGCCTTCCGGACCTCACATGGCTCTCACCGGTCCATGTGTCACCCAGACAGGAAAACGCCCTCTGACCTGTTCTGGTCAGCCAAGAGACTTTTCCCAGAAGTCCCTTTGCTCACACCCCCAGTGTTGAATTGGCCAGAATTATCCACACGCCAATCCCTACAGCAGTCAGTGGTAAGAGGAAGGGATGCCCATGTGATAGCACGTAACCCGGAAGTCAGCTTCCCCCGGAGCACTTTGGGGGGTGGACTACACACTTGAACAACATTGGGGTTCGCTCTGTAAGGAGAAAGAGGGCGGTCAGTTGTGTCTGTTGGCTTTGCCATCCATCTATGCAGGAGGGCTGGGGTAGGGGGAGCTATCCATGGACAACTGTGTCCTCTGTGGCCTCTTTCACCGTGACCCCGAGCACAACCGCTGCCCCTCTGTCCCCAGCGTCCCTTCCCACCAGGCCGTCCTGTCCCCCAGACCCAGGCTGCTTCCTGCCGTCGAGGCGGCTCCTCTGGGTCTGGCTCTCCGTCTCCCAGCAGCGGGCCTCCCTGGTGAAATACTCGCCGTTGCTGACTCCAGGTGGGCAGGCCAGTCTGTATGGGGAGCAGCTCCTTGCCCAGGGTGTCGGGGAGCAAGGTCACACGTCCCGAGCATGACGATGCCGTGATCTCTCCGTGTGCTGGGCACTGCCCCCGCAGCGGTTCCCTGCCCTCACACCACCGCCCTCCCCCACCGCGGGCAGAGGAGCAAACTGCTGGGTCAGCACAGACCTGGGCTCCAGCCGGGGCCTTTATGGGGTGCCACGGCTGCTTCCGGTGCTCAGGCGGGTTTGGCTCCAGCCCTGTCTGTGAGAACTTTCCGCCAATCACATCGTTCTTCTGCCTCTCGCTGCAGCCCCGCCCACCCACACCAGTCTTTGGTCAGTACGATTTCGTGCTCTGGCCTTCTAGTAGCTGACAAGAGAATAGAACAATGATGACCATATACTGTAATAAAAGTGATGTGGCCAGAAAGAGTTATGTGAATGTGGTCTCTCTCTCTCTCTCCCTCTCTCTCTCTCTCTCTCTCTCTCTCTCTCTCACTGATCTGAGAACCCAGAATACTGTATACTAAGTAAGTAAGGGATGGGAAGCGGATATAGCTGGACAGAGGCACAATTCACACCCCAGGTGAGATGGCACTGGAGGGCAGGAGACTTCACCAAGGTGTTCAGAATGGCGAGTGATTTTTAAACTCTGCATTGTTTATTTCTGGAATTTTCCACTTCATATTTTTGACTGTGGCTGAGGGGGTCACTGAAACCTTGGGAAGGGAAGCCACGGCTTAGAGGACTGCTGTATATTGGTGTCGGGTGTGCGATATAATGATTTGATATTTGAGTATATTGCTAAGTGAGCACCACAGTAAGTCTAGGGAGCATCCCTCACCACACATACAGTGTTTCCTTCTTGGATGAGGAACTTTTAGTATCTACTCTCTTAACCACTTTCAAATAGGCAGTCCCATGTCATTAACTGTAGTCACAATGCCGCACATCTCCCTCCCTCCCCCGGGTCTTCCTCATTTTACACCTGGAAATCTGCACCCCTGACCCCTCCACCCATTTCACTCACCTTCTGACTCCATTCCTACTAGCTGGCTATGAGGTTCTCTGTATCTAGGAGGTTTTTCACTTCGTTTTATTTTTTCTTTGATTCCACATGGAAATGTGATCGTATGGTGTTTATCTTTGTCCGATTACTCAGCATCATGCCCTCAAGGTTCATCCAAGGTTCATTCATTCCTTTTTATGGCTAAACTAGAGGCCCGATGCACGGAGATTCGTGCAAGATTGGGCCTTCCTTCCCCTGGCTGCAGGCACCACATTTACTCAGGCCTGGAGCCACCTTTCTGCCTTCGCTCTGCCTGGAGCCACCTTTCCAGTTTCCCACTCTGCCCAGAGGCCCAGAGCAGCTGGGGCGATGTGGGATGCCCCCTCTGTATGCAAACTAACCTGCCATCTTTGTTGGGTTAATTTGCATACTCACTCCTGATTGGCTGGTGAGATGTCACAAAGGTACAGTCAATTTTCATCTTTCTCTTCTATTAGTGTATATTTCTCTTTTATTCCATTGCACATATACATGTCTATATATTTTATTTAACCATTCATCTGTTGATAGGTTGTTTCCATATCTCAACTATTGCTTAGTTTTTTTCTGACTATCAAGATGAGTATTCTTGGTTCTTAAATTTTGGAAAGTACCCAAAACTCTACTGAAGAAAACAAGAGTCTCCCGTAATTCACAGTGGAAACCCAAAGATGGTTTTCATGCATTCCTCTTCCTCCTATCTGCACTCCTAGCTTACATCCATCTATTTTTTTTTTTTTTTTTTACAATATGGAATCAGACTATACCTATGGTTCTGTACCCTAATTTTTGTTCACAAGAATCTGTATTTTCCATGACATCATAAACGCTTTGCGGTGACAGTCGGGCAATTCAGATTAAATGTCTCTATTCACGGGCTCAAAGCCTTCGGGTGGTGTGGGAGGGTCAGCTGGCCAGGGGCCCATTTATAAATAACTGCTATTGCCCATGGCAAATATTGAATTTGATGCAATACTTAAGACATTTTCTAATTTGAAAATATTTTCAACGCAAGCAGTTGCCATTTGCAATTTGTCATGTTGTGAGGATTCTGTGAAGCGAAGTGTTTTGGGATTGGGTGTTTTACTTGGAGCGGTGCACAGGCACAGAAATTCTCATCTCCCCAGAAAGAGATTGGGCTGGAGAGCCGTGCCGACAGGCCTATTCTCGGGAAGATTTATTTTCTCCCTTTTCAGTCTGGGGCTGCTCTGATCTGGAAAGCATGCGTGTCCTCCAGCGTCCACAGATCAAACGGATGGCTCCTTTCCGAAGCAGCGGCTTAAGTTCAGGCTCAGGGATGGTCACTAAACCCGTTCCTCTCTGTTTTGAGCAGAGACAAGCGCTGAGCGATCTGGGAAAACCATTATTACCGGAGCTGGGCCTCTATGGTGAAGAAAACATTTGCACAGTATTTTCTTTGCAAAAGTATACGTGTGCCTCAGGACGCCAGTCCGGGCGGGGCCTCTGCTTCCATCCTGGTTTTTGCTTCATGAGGCGGAGCTTCCCTCAGAGGAATGATGCCCCTCGCAGTCCCCTTTTTTAAGGGAAGGATTTTAGCTTCATTCCCCTTTTGGGATAGTTCAAAAAATGTTTAAGGAATAGGTTTTGTCACTGAACGTCTCGTTCCATGGTCAGCAAACTGCGGCTCGAGAGCCACATGCGGCTCTTTGGCCCCTTGAGTGTGGCTCTTCCACAAAAGAGCCTGGGCGAGTCTATGTTGAAGAAGTGGCGTTAGAAGAAGGTTAAGTTTAAAAACTGTGGCTCTCAAAAAAAATTTCAATCACTGTGCTGTTGATATTTGGGTCTGTTGACTGATGAGTTTGCCAACCACTGGTCTAGTTGATACTTGGTGTTAATATTTGAAAAACAAACAAACAAACAAACAAAACCACACACACAAACCCATAAAACAAACTCAAGGTTTAATGTATTCGCATTCTCTTTTAGGCTGTCCCAAGATCTTTGAAGACCCAGGGAAAGCCGTGTCGACCAAAAGCAAGACAAATGCCTCAGAGAGAAAGAAGATGGTGGAACCCAGGGCAATTGGAGGTAAAATAAAGACCCGGGCAAGCCTCCCCTCCCTCGTTACAGGAAGGTGCAACTGTGTAAACACTTTGTGTTTTTCATATTTGATGTTGGTGGTCCCAACCTACAACGGCCTCTTCTTGGGCCGGTCGGTGTTCTTGGAAGGATTATGTTGACCCATTGAGTCTCCCTCCCAAATCCAACGCCCCTCACCAGCCCCCTGCCTCTCTCCCCGACACACTGCAGAGTTTTGTAAATCCCTGCGTTGTAAGGATTGTAGTCAACACAGCCTCTCCTTCCCCAGCGCCTTCTGCTCTCTTCCCCTCCTCCCAGCAGACTCAGGAGGCTGAGGGCGGTGTGTACAGACCTGGGCTTTATGAAATTTGTGGTTTCCGCCATATTACTAAGTTGGGTTTGAAGTTCTCTTTTAGTAATTTTACCTGCATTCAATGGAAACCTCCTTTCAGGAGGTCCACACAAAGAAGGAGCCTCCGCATTTATTAACCCTGCAAAATTATGTAGTAATAATAATAATAATAATAATGGTGGAAGATTTCAGAATTTTATTTTTAAAAATATATTTTTATTGACTTCAGAGAGGAAGGAAGAGGGAGAGACGGGGAAACATTCATGATGAGAGAGAATCACTGATTGGTTGCCTCCTGCACGCCCCATACTAGGGATGGAGCCCATAACCTGGGCATGTGCCCTGACCGGGAATTGAACCGTGACCTCCTGGTTCATAGGTTGATGCTCAACTCCTGAGCCACGCCAGTCGGGCTGATTTTAGTGTTTTATACGTGACACACGCCCCTTAGCTCATTCCCAGAGGCGGAAGGGGAGGCCTCTGGCTCTTTGGGGCCTGGGTCACCGGGACAAGCATTCCCCAGTGTTCTCGGGATCAAAGGCGGCTGTAAATCCCCCGTGAGCGGAGGGCGGGGACTGGTAGCCTGAGTGTGAGCACCAGCATGTGCGTGGGGAGGACTTGTGCGGAGCGAGCGAGCTGTCCCGGAGAGGGGCCGAACGTACGGAAAGAACATCTGTTCTGAGCGAGGGGCGTGCAGCCCGGAGGAAGGCTGGGGGATGGGTCTCCGGGCCCGACGACCCTCGCAGAGGAGGGCGATTTCCTGGGGACCCGCTGCTCTCCTGAAGAGGCGATCTTGGGGGACTCCGAGGATTCCTGAGCCCAGACGCCCAGCCCCTCCTCCCTGCGCCTCTCCCATTGGTGCGCCTCGAGCATGGGTTATCGTAATGGCGACCCAGTGCCATTTCAAGACGGCGCTCCATTCTTGCTGCATTTCAAAAGCAGATATTATCCCCGGAAAGGGCTTGGGGAGATGGGAGGGAATTGCACGCTTTCCAAGACCAGGGACGTTGTCGGCAGTGAGACGTGAAGCCCAGGGCTCCAAGTCCGCCTCCATCTGGGCAGGGCTCCCCGGAGCCTGCGCGGGCACAGGCCCGGAGCTTAGGAAGGGGTGCAGACGGCCCCGGGGTGGGCGGGGACTTCCAAAGTCCAACGTGCTCACTGTGAGAGACTCTGTCTCATATTTGATCTAACTTCTTTTTTTAATTTTTAAAATATATTTTATTGATTTTTTACAGAGAGGAAGGGAGAGCTAGAAACATTGATGAGAGAGAAACATCGACCAGCTGCCTCCTGCACATCCCCTACTGGGGATGTGCCCTCAACCAAGGTACATGCCCTTGACCGGATTTGAACCTGATGGATGGTGGTGTGTAGGAACTGTGTGTGACGTGGGTTTAGGGTGGGAGGGGCTTGTCACACTGGGATTCACTGGGGATGGAGGTGAGTGATGTTCCCGAGAGAAGCAGTGGGGTCCCCAGTCGCTTCGCGCTCCGCGCTGACCTCCGGGACGCCTTCGGGCACGTGCTTCCCGCAGAGCTGGGCGGTTATTGTTGTTACTATTACTTTTTACCTCGCTTTGTGGTGTTAGCCCTCAGGGAAACGAAAACCCGGGATCGTGGTTGCTCACTGCGCTTCTGTCCCTCTGCCTCCCAGCTGTCTCCGGGGCTGCGCGGACGGTGAAGGAGCGGGCCTCCTGAGGGACATGGTTCAGGCTGTCCCGGACCCAGCAGCTCACATCCAGGTAGGTGCCCCTGCCAGGAGGCCGGTCTCCACGGCGCCGCCCCCCGCAGTGCGTGCCGCGGTCCCCCCACTAAGACGGTGGGGTTCACATAGACGTGGTTGAAAGAAATCCAGGGAAGAACATATCTCATTACACAGGTAACTGATAGGACATGCAGATTTCATTGTTCTTAGCGACGGTTCTCCCGGGCCACAGCCGGGCCACGCGTGTCCACACTGTCCAGGGGGCTGTCACACGCCGTGGCCGGTGGCATCCCTGCACCAGCCCACACGGCCCGCTGAGCTGGGAGCATCCAGCCCTGCCTTTGTGGGCGGCCGCTGACCTCTGGGTCAGTGCAGGGAACACCTCCATCTCTGAGGCACTGCCTGGGTCCCCGGGAGGAGACCAGCGGGCCACACGTGGGTCTCCGTGGGCAGACGTTGTTCTGTGTGGGCACAGGGACCCTCGGTGGCTCTCCCTGTCGCACCGGCCCGGCACTCATCCACCGACGGCGTTTCCCCGCGGCCCTGGAGGTGAGAGAGGACAGAAGTGAGGCATGTGCAGCGGCAGGTCCCTGGGAGGAAGCCGCCCACTCCTCTCAGTCCCACTCGCACATGCACACGCACGCACACACACACGCACACACACACATGCACACGCACACATATGCACATGCCCTCGCAGGGAGAGGCTCGGCGAGGAAATGAGGCGATGGGTGGAGTAACTGCTGTGGGAAGTGGGGGCCGGAGCCTGTTCCCCAGGAGGCTGTCTCCCCGGTGCTGCTCAGCTCAGCTGGCCCCACGGGCCACACCCTCCCTGCGGGGCCCAGTCTTCACGCTCCCCACCCGATCCCTCTCCCCGAGGGGCCTGGTCACGTTCACGCATTTATGTTCTTTGCCTAAAACACGGATTGGAAATGGAAAGTGGTTTGTCATGGAAAGGAGGGCTTATGAGATTGAAAAATGTATCTTTTTTTTTTTTTGGACTAACATGTACAATGCCTTCCAAAACATCACATACACACATGGTGAAGACATATCTGCGGGAGTGTGACGAACCGGGACCCTGTGTAACGTACACCCTTACCCGTGTGATTTCTTGGGAGATGGAATTGGAAGTAATAGGAGTGGCAATTCATCCTTTGGGTTTTGTGGGTGTTTGTGAAACTTCAGAAAGAGGGGCGGTCCGGATTGCTGAGGATTCTAAGTTTTGAGCAGGGGGAGAGAGGGAGGCTGCAATCTGATTTCTGTGGGACATTTTATGGGGGCATGGCAGTTCTGCCTGCCAAGGTGCAAGTGGGAAACCTCTTGTGGGTGTTAAGCTGTCTTCCGAAATCTCTGAAACTTACCCGGTAAGTGACCAAGTTACACACAGAATGGGGCGAGGGGGGTGCCTGCAGAAAAGCTTTTTTATTTTTTATTTTTTTTTTTTTAAGAGTCTGTTGATGAAGCTGCCAGATGCAAATGCGAGCTCCTGGGAAGGTGACATGAGAAATACCTTCCACAGTTCAGTGGAGGCGGGTCAATAACCGAAATCTGTTGTGATTGGCTTTTTGCTCCTAATCACCCAGAAGGAACAGGCGGGGTCGGTGAGGAACCAGTGCAGGTGTCTAGAAGGGAATCCATGGCGTCCAGACAGCCTTCTTGGTGAGAAGGATGGTGTGTACAGACCCAGGCGGTGTGTACAAATCTGAGCGTCATGGCCTCCGACCACGTGTTCACGGGGACCGCCCGGCTCTGACCTCAGGAAGGGGCCGTGTTTCCGCTCTGCTCCATCGCACCATCACCGTATGGGTTAGCATAAATAAGTGGAGGAGGATTTTGAAAAAGGATCACCTTGAGAGTTTTTAAAAAATAAAATTCAGCTCGGGTTGCTTATGTGTGTTTTGAAGGCGAGCCGGCGGGTGAGAGCTGCGTGGCTAACGGCGGACGGTAGCTCTGGTCAGAGAGAAGTAAAGGTGTTGGTTTTCTTCGTGAATCTCTCCGGCTCTGTCTGGTTGGAATGTAAATAATTATTCCTGGTTTTGTTTTAGGTCTATGGAATTGGTGTCTTTGACAACCAGCTTAGGAAAACAGACTGCCTTTCTGTATTTCCTTAAAAATCTCTGATTTGGGGCCCTAGCCAGTTTGGCTCAGTGGATAGAGCATCAGCCTGTGGACCAGAGGGTCCTGGGTTCGATTCCGGTCACGGGCACCTCCCCAGCCCAGGGCCCTGGTCAGGGCTCATGCAGGAGGCAATCGATGTGTTTCTCTCATAACCATGTTTCTCTCTATTTTTCCTTCTCTCTCCTGCTCTCTCTCAAAATCAGTGGGGGAAAAAAAATAGACTCGGGTGAGGATTAACACAGAAATAAAAATACTGAGCTCCCTGACGGGGGGAGTCTCTCAGGAGCCCGCTGTGGGCTGAGAAGTCGCTGGCCGGTGGAGGCGGCGGCCTGTACTGGCGGGAGGAATCTCACAAATAGCGCTGGAATGGCCCACTTGCCCGTTAGTGTAAATAGTGGGCGGCTCTGCCTTCGGCTCATTTCCCCTGAAAAGGACTTCAGTTCCCCACACGGTGACCTAACCATGCAGGTGTGCGGCGGGGCCGGGGGGGGGGGGGGCAGCCACAAAGGCGGAGTGTCCTTCGCTGGCCTGTCCGCCCGCTATTGGGGGAGGAAGGGGGGGAGGGGAGAAACCTTTTGCATGAGGGCAATGTATTCTGCATAATTTACCGCCGCACTTTCTGCCAGAACAAACACGAAACGCTAGAGCAATTGCATAATAGCGGGTGATATTACTAAGGCGCGCCGTTAGCCTCCTCTTAGGTAATCGCCGTCGAGGGGGAGAAGGAAGAAGAGGGAAAGTTCTGGAAAGCACTTGACAGCAACAGGGTCGGGACTTCCCAAGAAGTCGATGGCCCGGCTGAGCTCTTTGCCCCCCCTGATCGCTCTGGAAGTGACAGCAAGCGTTTCTGGCTGTAAAAGGTGTTAGACGAAAACGCTGCTTGCGTTTCATAGAAGGAAGGGTTTGAAAGGGCTTTTAGAAGCAGCCCGACGTGAAGTGCAAGGTCACCAGGAGGCCTGAGAGTCCCGGGGGTGAGCAGGAGCACAGAGCACACGACGCAGATGCCAACCCCGGGAGGGCTCCAGCCTGATCCGGGTGAGGGGCTCGGCCATGCTCCTGGCCCTTCCTGGCCTAGGCCTGCTCCCCGCTCCCCTCTCTCTGCTCCCCGCTCCCTGCCCCCCGCTCCCCGCGCCTACCTGGCTGACAGAAGGCCGTTGAGCAGCAGGCGTTTCGACTGAGTTTGCAGATCTGATTTACAGTCCCTTTGCTCCGCAGGAAGTTAGAAAGTTTATCCTTTGAGGATGTGCTCAGCGGGTCCAGAGACCGGAGCTTCCCCCCAAAGTCTGTGCGCTGTGAGGATGACGTAGCCCTGGATCCGCGGCCTGATTCTTCCTTCATAACTCGGCTTTGATCGGCGTCCAGCGGGTACACACCCCGCATGCCTGCGATCGGGCTGGCTGCCGGGGGCTGCCCCGTGTCTCTCTCTGCAGGGCAGTGGCCCTCAGCAGAGGAGAGCAAACTCCAAACAGCCCTACAGCGTGTGCGTGTGGCTTTTATGATCAGAATAAGAGGATTGTCTGAAAATATCAAAGCGTTTGATAGGACACAACAGGAGGGGCTTCTGGCAGCGGGCGGTGTGCCCGGGGCTAGGCTGGAGCTGGGCTCCCCTGTCTGTCCCTGCTGGCTCCCCGTGGCCTCGGGCTGTGCTCCGGGTGCCTGCACCCAGGCTCAGTGCCTGCTCCCCGGCCTGCTGCCCGCCCCCTGCAATGGTGACCCCTCCTTAACGTTCAGAGACGCTGGTGTGCAGGGAGGCGCCAGCTGTCCCGGGAGCTGCAGGCTGGGCCGGAGGCGAGCTGTCCCTTTCCGGGAGAGGGGCTGTAGTTGTGTGCAGTTGGCTTACACACCCACCAGCCTTCGGCCCAGAGGTGGCTCTCAAACAGCCTGCGCCTCGGCTCAGAAATGCAGATTCCTGGGCTCCCCCAACTTTTCTTCAGAAAGTTTGGGGTGGACTTAGGGACCTGCATTTTCACAAGTGCCAGAGGGTTCTCTGTGAACCTTGCTTAGATGACGAATAGCAATAATTTTTTTAAGTGAGTACATGAAAGAGTTTTTATTTATTTATATTTTATTGATTTTTTACAGAGAGGAAGGGAGAGAGAGATAGAGAGCTAGAAACGTTGATGAGAGAGAAACATTGACCAGCTGCCTCTTGCACACTCCCTACCGGGGATGTGCCCGCAACCAACATACATGCCCTTGACCGGAATCGAACCTGGGACGTTTCAGTCTGCAGACCGATGCTCTACTGCTGAGCCAAACTGGTTTCGGCCAAATAACAATAATTTTTAAAAAAATGATTTGTTATTGATTTTTTTTTAAAGAGGAGAAGGGAGAGGGAGAGAGGGAGAGGGAGAGAAACATCAGTGTGAGAGTGAAACATTGGTTGGCTGCCTCCTGCCTGCCCCATTCTGGGACCAAGCCAGTAACCCCTAACCTGGGCATGCGCCCACTGGAAATCAAGACAGCAGCCAACAGAGCCGCACCTAACTCTCTTTAAAAACGTGCCTTTGTTGTTGGAAGTATTATAGCTGTCCCTATTTCCCCTCTCATATATGTATATGTATGTGTATGTGTATATAGATGTACATGGTTTATTTTTTAGAGCAGTTTGACTCCCGTATGCCTGTTCCCATGCACACACCACAGCCCCCACCATGGGCACCATCACACCGGGTGGCCGATCTGCTCACGGGCGGTGAACCCATGTTGACACGTCAGCGTTGCCCGGACTCCGTGTTACCAGCGGGCTCAGCTCTGTGCTGTGTGCTCTGTGGGTTCAGATTAACGTGTAATGGTGTACATGTCTCACACAGAGCCGTTGCCCTGCCCCAACATCCTCCGAGGTCCAACCACGCCTTCCTCCAGCCCCGGCAGCCCCGGATCTCCTGCTCACAGCCTCGCCCTCCTGTGGCGTGG